ACTGTTGGACTTGTCAGGAAGGAGTCAGAAGAGAGGGATAATAACACGGGGTCTGATCTTTATTCGTCAGATAAATTTTAGGCATCTTGATAGGCCTTGCAGTACAAGAGTGAAAGACCTAGTCCCTGCCTCAGGAGACTCCAGTTTAAAGGAGGGTCGCATCCTGGGCCATGGTGGGGGGGGGGCACGGAACAGAGACCTCCGGGCACTCTGCCCTGCGGGAGGTCCTCTGATCAGTTAACAGTGTCCTGATCTAGTCTTCCTCATTTTTAATCCATTCTTTCTCTTCATAATTATTTTTAAAAGTACAGTTTTCAGTTTTAAGATCCCTTAAAATAAGTGTAAGGGATCATCTAGGTTCTTGCTACTATGCTAGTGACATCCTAGAAAGCGCAGTGTCCCTTGACGTGGCCTGATGTCACACATGCCGTGTCACAACCTGCACTTGAACTGGAGAAGTACTAATGTGGTTCAGCTTCTCCCCTTCAGGATTTATGCAGAGACTGTGTCCGTAAGGTCCCCCACACCACAGAGAGCCAGCATCAGAGGGCTACAGGCTGTTCCCAGGGGCCTCTACAGACTGCTGTTTGCTGTCTGGACCCTCCACACTCTCACTCTTGTCATCAGCTTCTTAATCACGTCTCCTCTCTTTTTGGTCGTCCTCTATTTTTTAAATTTCATCATCATCGTTATTCTGGCCAACACTCAGGCCTAAAGGTGGTCCTGTGTTTAAGTTTTTCTCTTGAGAGAACAATAAGCATGCTGCATGATACATCGTGAAGAATAGGTGTTTTTATTTAATGTTAATTTCTGGCATTTTTTTTTGACCTGTTTCTCTAATTTTTTCCTACTTGCTGCTCAGAACTTTCTTGAAGTCAGTCAGAATTCCGTCTTGTGGTAAGGGTGAGAAATAACACATGATGTCAGAAACTGAAATCGTCTCACAGATGAATTCATCTTCCTTTCCTTGTTATGTAGATTTTTGCGTTAACAGATCACTTTTGCTCTTTGTATCGGATTCTCACACACAAAACAGCATCTGCCTTATAGTTTACGGAGAAGAACAGGGCACCATGGTGATTCCTCTGGGACCCAGGACCAGGCTTCAGGGAGTTTGTCTACATCTTTTTTCCTATAATAGAGAAAAATAAACACCAAAGTAAATAAGCACCCCATATTTTATGGGGGGACTTCGGCATAAAACAATCTGGTCATAGAAGTGTAATTAACATAGGCAGCTACAATTTCACTAAAGAAAAGTGAACAATTACTGATAAGAAGGCACTGGCACAAGGTCTTTAACGGAAGAAAGCCATGCCATTTTTTAATTTTTATTTTTTTAAGGAACAAGGTTTCACTCTGTTGCCCAGCTTGGAGTACACTGCACTGATCACAGCTTGCTGTAACCTCATATCCTGGGCTCGATGGCTCCTGCCCATCTCAGCCTCCCGGGTGGCTGGGACTCCCTGTGCACACCTCTGTGGCTGGGAACCTGGAGACGCTCTGTGGGGACAGGCCTTGTGCACTGCCCACCTTGCTCTCTAACTCCTGACCTCTAGGGATCCCCCTATGAGGGGTCTACTGTCTCTTGGCTTTCAAATATTTTACTTTAACTCTGAAATGTGTTTGATGACCATAATCTCCATGAATAGTAGGACTCCTTTGTAAACTATGAAATAAAATCAGTTTTTCTGTTTTTCTTGTTCCCGTATGTGTTTTTCTTCACATCACCCTTTTAACAACTCCGATTTCATTGTAAACAGAGTTTTGATGTTGCTTCTTTTATTATTCTGATTGTTTGATTTCAGAATGTTAATGGGTACTAATGTTTAGGTTGCATACATTGCTTTTGTACCATTTGAGTCAGAGTTGTAAGTGTGCCCATCACCCAGACAGTGAGCACCGTGCCCACTGGATGTGAATTACCCTCCTCTCCTCCCACTTCCCACCTGCTTGATTTTTGTTGAGTGTTATTTCTGTATGTGCACGTAAGTGTTGATTTGTTAGTCCTAATTTAATAGTAAGTACATGTGGTACGTACTGTGTGGCGCTTGTTTTTCCATTCTTGTGATACTTCACTCAGAAGAGATCTCTCCAGTTACATCCAGGTTTAGACAAGAGGTTTGAGATCACCCTTTTTTAATGACCAAGTAGTTCTCTGTGGTATACGTATACTACAGTTTATTAATCCACTCATTGATTAATGGGCACTTAGGTTCTTTCTGCATCTTTGCAGTTTTTTGTGCTGTTATAAACATTCGAGCACAGGTGTCTGCTTTATAAAATGTCATTTTTTCCTTTGGGTAAATACCCAGTGGTGGGATTGCTGCATTGAATGATAGGCCTACTTTTAGTTTTTCAAAGTATCATCATACTACTTTCCATAGAGGCTATACCAGTTTGTATTCCCACCCATAGTGTGTTAGTGTCCCTGTCTCTCTGCATTCACACCAATGTTGGTGGTTTTGGGACTTGCTGGAGTTAGGAGATGTTTTGTTGTAGTTTTGATGTGCATTTCCCTGACGGAGATGTTGATATTCTTTCATGTTAGGTGTGTTAGGTGTCATTAGATGGTCTTCTTTTGAAAAGTCACATCTTTTACTCATTTTTTAATGGGGTTGTTTGCTTTTTTCTTGTTGATTTGCTTGAGTTCTTGATAGATTCTGGTTATCAGCTCTTTATCACATGTACAGCATGTGAATTTTGTAGGTTGTCTGTTCACTCTAATGATTGTTTCCTCAGCTGTGCAGAAGCCTTTCAATTTGATCAGGTCCCATTGATCTTTGTGCTGTTGCTATGATTGCTTTTAGGGTTTTCATAAATTCTTTGCCTAGGCTAATGTCTATAACAGTTTTTCCAACTTTTTCTTCTAGAGTTCTTATAGTTTCAGGCCTTAGGTTTGGGTCTGTTATTCATCAAGAATTAGTTTTTGTGAGTGGCGAGAAGTGTGGATCCTATTTCAGTCATCTACATGTGGTTATCCAGTTTTCCACCACTATTTATTGAATGGGGATTCTTTTTCCCCGGGGTGTGTTTTGGTCTGAGTTGTCAAATATCAGATGACAGGCAGTATACAGGAGGGCTTTATAACTGGGTTCTCTGTTGCTGGTTTGGTTCCCACAGCCTTGTGGAACATACATTCTTCTCATCAGCCCATGAACATTCTCTAAGATTGATCACATCCTAGGCCACAAAACATGTCTCAACAAATTAAAAAAATAGAAATTATGCCATGCATCTTCTCAGACCACAGTGGAATAAAATTAAAGTCAACTCCAACAGAAACCCTCATCTCTACACAAGGTCATAGAGACTAAACCTCCTGCTGAACGATAGTTGAGTCAAGCAGGAAATTAAGATGGAAATCAAATGATTCTTTGATAAAAGAGACACAAGTTATCAAAATCTGTGGGACGCAGCTAAAGTAGTCCTGAGAGGAAAATTCATAGCTGTCAATGCCCCATCCAAAAGACACACAGATCACAAACCAGCAGTCTAATGAATCATCTCATGGAACTGGAAAAGGAAGAGTGAACATGGCCCACACCCCACAGAAGAAAGGAAATAACCAAGACAGAGCAGAACTAAAGGAAATTGATAACAAAAGAATTACATAGAAGATTTATGAAGTGAAAAGTTGGTTGAAAGATAAACAAAATTGACAGGCCATTGGCTAGATTAATCAGAAGCAGAAGAGAAAGGACTCGAATAAGCTCAGTCAGGACCGAAAGGAGAAATCTCAGTCAATACCACCAAAATACAAAATATTGATGTTGCTTTTTGACTTTGGAGATATTTGATTAAATGTTGTGTTTTATGTCTTGCATTTTATTTTCTATTGAAAGTGTATAGAAACAGCTTAATTTGTTTTTAAGTAATGCATTTTAATACCTACTTATCTAACATAGAATCATTTTGTATATATAACGTTAGTAAAAAGGGCAGTTTAAATGGGTTGTTATAATCAGCAATTAAGTTACAGTCATTTAAGCTGGGTTCTGGAAACTTGTATTTTCTTTTTCCTTTTTAAAAATACATTATTTTTCTCAAAAAAAAAACATAAAAATGTTTTGCATTGCCAAGAATAAGCTAGACATTAGATTTGTAACTTTTAAATGTTTAACTTTTAGAAATATAAAATTAAGATTAATAATTTATAACTTATTAAAAGATGAATTTTTGCTAATCTCATTTGTAGTTCATTATCATGCTTCTCTTAGAAATGTTTTACTTGTAGCATCCTAGTATAAGATTGATTCATGGTTGCATATTTTAATATTATGGACAATCAATTCATCTTGAAATAATATGTCTCATTGTGTATATATACACAGATGTAAGTTGAGTGATTTATAGCTTTAGAGAAAAGCACACAAATTTGTTATTTATGGGTAATAAAATAAATGCATGTTCTTAACGAGAAAGTTAGAAAAATGTCTTGAATATGACTACCATTTAAATAAGTGATGGAGTTGTGATGAGCGCTGACATAATCTCCACACATTGCCCATCCCCCTGCCTGGGGTATCTGCAGACACCTGTGCGTGGCCTCTGGGCCTTACACCTCCTGAGTCCAACTCTCACCTGCCTTAGGATGGGCAGACAGAGCGCTTCCAAGCTGCCCTGATAAATTTCACATGCCTAAAATGGAAGACAAGTATTTCCTTAAAGTATTTATTGTCTATGAAGTCTTCCATTAATTTTTCATCCTAAGTTTATTTTCTCTGTTTTCAGTGAACTTTATTTCTTACCTTTTTTTCTCTAGGTTCTCTATAAAACAGAATGTGTTACATAACAAGTAAAACTTAATTTTCAAAAGCCACTTGGAGGAGTCAGTGTTGTTTTTTGCTTTTTATCCCATACATCTCTGTTGACTCCAAAGATGGTGATCTGCATTTGGTCAGATAGTGAAGTCCACTGGAAGCATTTTAATTCCTAACAGTGTATTTTATAAAACACTACTGTTTAATTAATCTTATGTTATTTTGTTGTTTCTTTAGATAAACGTGTGGAAAATTGGCCTTTGATGCAGTCTCCGTGGCCCACCCTGAGCATAAGCACCCTCTATCTGCTGTTTGTGTGGCTGGGTCCAAAATGGATGAAGGACCGAGAGCCTTTTCAGATGCGTTTAGTGCTTATTTTCTATAATTTCGGGATGGTTTTGCTTAACCTTTTTATCTTCAGAGAGGTAGGTTAATTAAGATCACTGTATAATGTATTCTCTGGGGTTATTGGAAATTTTTAAAATAAGAATGTACAAGACCATCACTGTAATTATTGTCTCCCCAGATAACTGTTAGTTCCTCTAAAAGTAAATTTTTGACATTTTTCAAAAATTTGTTTTAGGTAACAAAAAATATAAAACATAAAATATAGAACAATTGCTTAACCCTTTCTGATCCTATGTCAGACAAAAACGCTTTGATTATTTTATGTAACCCAAAATAGATGATACAGTCATCAGGTGAGTTCATCTTTATTTTTTCTCTTTTAAAACAGTAGGATCAAAAAAACCCTGTAGGATAATTAGAAATAATCCACCAACCTCGTTCCCACCCCAAATAAATAAGAGCTGGGTAGTATGAGGGTGGCAGAAAAATTGAGTTGGATGTAATTTTGAATCAGACAGACTAGATTTTAAAATAACCTTATTAGCTGTTCTGACATTGAAAGTTATTTAACTTTTCTCAGCCGCATTTTACAGGGATGATATAAATTTCAGCATTCATCAAGACCCATTTTATAAATGGGGAAAATGCTCCTTTTAGGATTGTTGTCAGAGTTATGGGAGATAATTTTTGCAGAGCATTTAGATACCTTTGCTAACCTGTTAGTAACCCTGGATCAAGAATGGAACCTCGTGAAGGCAGAACATCTCTGAGTCGTGGCAATAAGTTTCTCTTAATATGGTAGAGAGAGTCAATACGTTACATGTGACTTTAAATTTAGATTTAAATTATAGAACAAAATGACACACCATAACTTTTAGAAATTCCAAGACACTAAATATTTAACACATTTGAAATTTTTTAAAAAAATTTTGCTTTTTTAGAAACTTGAGAGGTTACATATTATATGTAGTATTTGTAATATTGTGTCTACTAAAACTTTGCTCTAAGTGTTTTTATTTCTTTTTCCAGTTATTCATGGGGTCCTATAATGCAGGATATAGCTATATTTGCCAGAGTGTGGATTATTCTAATGATGTTAACGAAGTCAGGGTAAGTACATTAAAAATACTGTTTAATTTTATGGGTTCTTGTCTGTGAAAAACATACTTTAATATAGTAGTGAAATTATTACACTGGGTTGTTTCGAGTCAATATAGCTGTGTGTTTCTTTTTAGTACATAATCGAAAATCTGTTTTATATTTCCAGTATCTTCTTTTATTTGGTAGAGTGAAAGTGATTATGTATTGGATTATAGACAGTACTTTAGAAAACAAAGGTCTTCGTTTCTTATAAAGGTATTTTTAGATTTTTGTCTTTTTGGGTCAAAAGCAGAAACTCAAAAAGTCATTTGTTCAGCGAGTCTGCGGAAAGCAATAGTTTTTACAAACTGTAATACTTAGGAAATTAAGCATAGCATAATTTGTATAGATACGAATTTTGTTTTTAGTATATTTGCAGAAAAATAACCAGTAATATGTTATCATATTTTATTTTCCAGTTACCTACATTAATAAAGTTAATGTTTAGTTCGAGTGAAAGAAAGAAACCATCTTATTCTATTAAGTATTGAACTCCTCTTGTATACTGTGGTTCCTATTAAAATTACTTGTAACATAGAACGTAAGACATGTGTTTTGTGGTGTGCGTCATGTGTGCGTATGTAGTATAGAAGCCTCCCTTGAGAAAAACAGCTTTCTGGCATGTGAGTTGGGTGACACAAATTTCAGTATTCATCAAGACCCAAGACCAGGTTGCTTTACGGCACTTACTGTTTTAAGTCCCTATCTTCATTTTCCTATTAGAAGACTTACCATCTGATGAAAAACAGCCGCTCTGGTGGTCATTGCTGGTTTCATTCGTTTGATACATATGTCTCAAGAGTCCACTGTGAGGGCCTCTGGGGACTCTGGAAAGACGGGAGAAGTCCCAGCCTCGTGGAGCTGATGTTCTAGTGGGGGGGGGGGCAGACCGTAGTCATGTCAGCAAATGGTTAAGAAGAAAGAAACTCTGTGAGAACACCCCCAGAGAAGCGGGTGGGGCGGTTTAGATTTGTGGATCAGGAAATAAGAAAAAATTCTCTCTGACAACACACTGCCAGAGAATCTTCTAGTTAGGAGCTGAGGACTGGCATGTTTGGGGAGGAGGGAGGACAGGTGTTTTTTGATTTGCCTGCTTCTGGGAGAACAGTGAGAAAACCCCTTGCATGAGGCAATATATTACTATATTTAGGATAAAGGTTCAGCACTACCACTCTGGTCACTGAGAACCTGACCTCCTGATGGGTATAGACGTTCCCGTCTTTACAAGATGAGCCGTTGTGAGACCTGCAATGTAGAAGGAGAAAGAACCTGCGATTTGCAGATTTCACTTGAAATCTTCCTCCTGATGCCTTCGCTCTAATCCCTGATGCAGGAGAGCAGATGTTTGGGCGGAGGCTCATTTTGGTGTCATTGTTATGTAGCCAAGAAGTATCACTTTTCACTTTGGTGTGCAAACTAAGAAGAATTAATATTTATTAATATTTATAATTAATATGTGAACTGTGGCAAATTTTAGAAGCTTGGGGGAGAAAAACCTAAGACATTGTTTCTTTCCTTCTAGATGAAAGTAATGGTACCAAAATGGTGAGGTTACTTTGTTTTAAATATAATTACGGGCAGCGCCTGTGGCTCAAAGGGGTAGGGCGCTGGCCCCATATGCTGGAGGTAGCGGGTTCAAACCTAGCCCTGCCCCCAAACTGCAAAATAATAATAATATAATTACGATAGTGAACAACTAACTATAACTACAGTGTTGCTGTGAATAGTTGACTTTCAAGCCTATTTTCAACCTTTTATTTTATATTTTTCTTTTTGAAATAGAGTCTTACTCTGTTGCCCATGCTAGGGTGTTGTGGTGACATCACAGCTCACAGCAACCTCAAACTCCTGGGTTCAAGGGATCCTCCTACTTCAGCCTCCCGAGTAGCTGGGACATTGGAGCCTGCAGCAATGTCCAGCAAGTTTTTCTGTTGTTAAGTACAGACAGGTCTCACTCTTGCTTAGGCAGGTCTTGAGCTCCTGAGTTCAAAGGATCCTCTTGCCTAGAGTACTAGGATTATAGGTGTGAGCCGCTGCACTGGCCTATTTTCAACCAGTTTTTATTATTTGAAACAATAATATTTATTGCTCAAGCAAATTTAATGAATAATTCTCAACCTATAAATATGACTTCATTTTTATATGGCTTTTTTCTTCCCTCTTTCATCAAACTTTAAAGTTATGTCTTTAACAAGCAAAAAACAAAAAGAAAACAAGCAAAAGCCCGTGACATCCACCAGCTGCAGGTGCAGAGTGAGGCCGGCTCCTTCAACTCTGATAAGCCTCAGCCTTTCTGTGAATGGACCCGTCAGGCCCTAACACACGTTTATAAATAGATTTCACTGGGTACTGCCTTATTTGTTTTGTGCATAGAATGCATCTTATAGAGAAAAATATCTATACAGATAGAAAGTTAAATTTTAGTTATCGTTACGGTAGGATTCTTATAAAAAATGTTAGTGCATCAGTACAGAGGTCACCTCTCCCTGGATCCTTAATCTCAGAGGTAACGTAATCTTTCTGCACCATCTGGTGTCTTAATTAGAGCCCAGGAAAAGAAAAGACTTATTCATGTAAGCAGGATTATATTTATGACCTGGGAAATATTTGTGGTTCTTTTCATTCCAATTTGTCATTTAAAAGATATTACTACCTGATACAAACTGCTGTGATCGGATATTCACTTTGAGGCACAGTGTTACGGTGAGAGAGAGGCAGACTCTGACAGACCGTGGGAAGCCGGGCAGCCTGGATGAGTTCACAGCTTCTTGACACTATGTGACGTCCACCCATGTAACAGGCTGGAGCTGTGTCTGAATTGTTGGCACCATGTAGACATAGCTCTGGACTCTTCTCTGTTTTCCTCTGGGATAGATGCTTAAGTCTTAAACCTACTTAGCCATAAAATGGTTTTATGCCTTGGACGTTTGCCGTGAAGATTATTTTGGACTCAGTTACAGTGAGCAGAAACCCTTAGGAAGTGTCACTCTGGTGTTACAACTGTGCTTTTCCTCTCTGTAGATAGCTGCTGCTCTGTGGTGGTATTTTGTATCTAAAGGAGTGGAATATTTGGACACAGTGTTTTTTATCCTGAGGAAGAAAAACAACCAAGTCTCTTTCCTGCACGTGTATCACCACTGTACAATGTTCACCTTGTGGTGGATCGGAATCAAGTGGGTTGCAGGGGGACAAGGTGAGCATGTTCAGACTTTTAAAAATCGGAAGAAAGTAAAGCCTTATGTCTGTGACTGCTTTACTACCTAAAGATTTCTCCCGGAGATGAGCATAAACGGAGCCTAATGTAGGCAATGGTACTGTTGTGGGGAACAGTTGTAGTGCTTCTGATCCACAGGGACGATGGCACAACCCCTCAGTCTAAACAAAAGTTCCATCTTCGGTCCAGGCCCAGAGCTCACCTCTGCCCTGGTACAGGCTGGGCATTCCAATCCAAAACCTGACAGCTGAAAGACTGCAAAACAGGAAGCTTCTTGGCACCAACATGACATGCAAGTGGGAAATTCCACCCCTGACCCTGTGTGGTGGGCGCAAACCACCTGTGTACTCAGCATCTCCCAGGGAAAGGCCCTTCCAGCCCCTCAGCCGCAGCCTGTCTTCCCTGCTCACAGCAGGTGCTGATGCCAAACAAGTGTAGATGGTGCACATGGCAGCTGAGATAGCGACACCTTGGCTTTCTGATGGTTCACTGTACATAAAGTTTTGTTCATGCACGAAATTATTTGAAAATTATATGAAATTACCTTCAGGCTAGTGTAAAAGGTGCTTATGAACATAAATGAATTTAGGGTTTAGACTTGAATCCTGTCTATCTCATGTGTATGCACATATTCCAAAATCTGAAATAGTTGTGGGCCCAGAGATTTCATCTTGCATAGACCTGACCTCACCCCGCTGGTTCTTATTCAGAGGGAGGGCTGTGTACCCTTGTTAATGTTGTAGA